AAAGAAAGAAAATTAAGGAACCCGTAAATATCAGAAATTGACAATTATTGTTAACCAAGAAAAATAATCCGCAATAAAGACAAGATATACTATTGGTGGAATATTACAAAATAAATAAATATTATTTTTTTAAAAAAAAAAACTAACTAAATAAGGTCAGGCATGACAAGATAAAATTTTATAAATAATAAATTAAATTAAACAATGCCACCTAAAATAGAATGGTGAAATAAGTAGGTAGCAGTAGCACCCAAAATAAAGATGTCAAGACACTACCAAATTAGTAATAGTAATAATTAAGTTTTAATTGGTTGAAAGTGAACAAGATTGAATGTATTCAGTGAATTCAAGGGGATAAATATAGCCGCCTTTGTCTGTTGCCAAACCTAATACATCATCATGTCATAACTTGCCATATGTACTCTCAACAATCTTTTGGAATTTCTTGTTTCAATTTTAAATTTCCTAAAAACTACAAAAGATTACGAAAATATGAAAAGGTAAAGTAGTAAAATAAACAAATTGATCCAAGTTAAAATTGCCAACATATCGATATAAAAGGAGTATGTCTCAATTTATATGATATAATTTTTTAAAATTTGTCTAAATAAATGATGATAAAATATTTAAAGAAAAATTATTTAATACATAACTTATTTTATTATATTTTCTAAAATTTTCTATCATTTTAAAAAATTACAAAAATCTCTATCCTATTCTCAAATACATCACTTTACGCTATATATCGGTTGGATACATCACTTTACGCAACGTATCGATCGAATACATGATACGTGATGTATCGGCATGTAATACGAGATGTATCGAGACGTTGATGTGATGTATCCGAAAATGAGACGCGATATATCAAAACGTTGAGCGATGTGTTGAGACATTTTTGAATGTATCCAGATTCCCCTAAATTCAAGGATTTTTTTTGTAATTTAAAAAAATATATGATGTAATTAGCTCTTAACACTATATATTTGTGTAAAATTCTCAAATTATGACACTATTTCAAAAAAAAGGCTCTACTATATTTCTAAAACTCTGTATCAATCAAACTATAATACATAAATTAGGATTATGGGAATTTTATTTTTTTTCAATTCTCTTAATAAAAAAAAACAAAGAGGGGAACCTTTAGCGGCATGATTAGTAGTGCATTCTTGGCTGTTGTGGGGGAGGGAATTCATGTTATTGTATCAAATGCCATCAAGTTATGTGACCTTTTAGTTACCAGAAAATTATTTAGTGATAAGTGACCCTCTACTATGCTTAATTAAGCTGGGGGGGGGGGGGGGGATTTTTCTTTCTAAATAAAATAAAATGATGCTTAATTATGCAAAGTGATTTTGACGTTACGAAATAAGTTTTTTTTTTTTTATCATCCATGAAATTGTCCAATATTATATTTATTCTGGAATAAAATGTTAAAAGAAAGAATTAAAAAACATGTTTCATGTGGATATAATAACTATAGCAAGCATTTTTCATATTCACTAAGAAAAATATCTCATAGTGACATTTTTATCAACTACAGGACTTCTATTTTCTAAAATAACAAAAAAAAAAAAGACGCAGCACGTAAAAAGGAAACATATGCACGCAAAACTTGCAAGGTCTAACATGTTTAAAATAAATACAGCAACTAAATGCACATCAAATAATATATAAATAAATAAATTTCTGATTTAATTATTACAATTCTCTCTAATAGTACACGGCATATATATTAGTGTTAAGAAAGTTAAATAATTTTATTAGCTACGATTTCTTCAAAAAGTTTGTAGAATAGTTTTGCTATTAGATTGTGACGATATACGCACATTCTTGTACATAGTTTCAAGTATGTAAATATATCATTTGAAAATTGAAAAAATCATTGTTAAGATTCACATATATAAAAATTATTACTTTATTCATGGTCTTAAACATGCTAGGTTGGTTATGATTAATTTAAGTCATCGTTCTTTTTTGGATATATGTCATTCGGGAAGATAAGCAACATCATAAATTCTTGGGGAAAAAAAACTTTTTCTTTTAAATAATATTGTACGAAAACATTTTAATTATTAATTAGCCAAAAGGCAATTATATTTTATAGAAAGATTAAATCATAGTAGTAAACATACAAAATCTTCAATTTGTTGTTTTATTGATTGATACTAGAAAATAAGTTAACGTGAAACAATTTTTACATTATGCAAATTGTTAGGTCAAAGAATTAAAACCAAGGTACCACTCTAATTATGTTGTATTAGGCTACATAATGATGATCACAAAAAAAAAAGTTCACTTGTTTGGAACTAATTTGATGGCTATTTTTGGATTGTTTCTTACTACTATAATATTATATTATTCCTAATTTAAATCACATGTGATAAATTCATCCACATATTTTTAATAGAAAAATTAAAGAAGGAGCCAAAACCTTTGCGTAAAGATTTATCTCGACGAGGTTTACCGGCGCACCTTCTCTCTTAGGTCTTATCCTTTTTATTTCCTAAGCCACCCAAAATCCATTTGCCTTTTGGTTACACGTGTAAATTAAATACAATTTTATTTTTTATAAAAATTAATTTTATATATTTTAAAAATTATTACAATATAAATTACAACATCTAACAAATTAACATGAAATTTATCGGTCAAAGAAAAATTATTTTTAAATGTCTAAATAGTAATTGGATTACATAAAATGCGACGAATAGAGTATGTTTTTTTTTTCTTATTTTTGAACAAAAAGATTTGATTTTCAATTTATTAGTTAAAATAATTTATATCTATATAATGCCTTAGATTTATTTTAAACCATAGATTTTAAAAGTATTTTCTTTTCTTTTCCCTCATGCTTTGTCAAACACCACATAAATGTAGACGAATAGAGAGACTATTATTTATTTCTTATTAAACATTATAATTTATTATAAATTTGTGATTTGTATATGTGATTTTATTTAATTTCCTTATTTTGATATCCACCTAGTTTTGTTTTACATGTCTTATTAGTTTTATATTAAAATACTCCTTAAATTTCATGACTTTGAAAATGTTATGTAATTCCTATAACAGTGTGTCATTAAGAATAAATGAAAATATTTTTAAAAATGTGTTTTTGTTTTTAAATAAACAGTTCCACAATGAGTCCAAATCAATACTTAATAATATGAGTATCATTTTAACGTGTGTACCCTAAACTCTGCTACTTACCATTTCGAGACTGATGAATCATAGAGTTGTCAATATGGGCTGACCTATTTCATCCAGGCTAATTTATACAGGCTTTGTAATTTGACGGGTCAGATTGGGCTAGCCTATTTTTTTATGTGAGCAAGAATATGGTCAGCCCAACCCACAAGTGTGTGGGCTACGGGCTTTGCCGGGCCGGACCTCTTTTCTTAAAAGTTTATTTTTTATAATTTTTTAAATTAAAGTATAATTTTAAAATATTGTCATAAATATCGACTAGTATTATTACTTGTTAATCAAATACACAAATAAAATTATCTATATAATATTTATTAAGTTTGATTTCAAGTAAAAACATAAAGCGCTAAATAGAAATATTAACCTAATTTTTTTTCAATGATCATAATAGAACACAAAAACTATGATAATATTTCATAGGCCATCTATGTAGTGATTCCCTAGAAATTTTAGGAACTTTATTTTATGTAGTACATATTTTATAAACATAATTTGTATTTAAATTGTAATATTTCAAACTTAAAATTGATTTTGCGTGTAGATTCATGTTATTTTTAATACTCTATTTTATTTTTATTTTATAATTAATTTTATTTGGCCCACGGGCCGGCCCTATCCATATTTCTCAAGTCCCACAAATCGACAAACTTATTCAAACCGAGCTAAAAAGTTTTTTTTAAAATGAGCTTCAAAAATCATAGCTCAATCCTATCAAATCACGGGTTAAACCAGACTAACCCAATGGGCCTAACCCATATTGACTGCTCTAAATTGAATCGCATGGTACATAAAATATAAAGAAAGAATAGTATTTTTAGCACTAAACACGACACCTCATTTCCAAAAAGATCAATTCGTATAAAATACTCGCTCCATATGTTTCTATTAAAATTAAAATTAAAATTAAAATTAAGACGTTCTGATTAAGATATTTTTTAGATATATTTGAGCATTGAATAATAATATATTTATTTTCTAATATTTGAATGTGTATATTTTATTTATTATTAAAATAATAAATATAAATTTTAATTAAAATAATTGAATATTAAAAATTATAAGTTTAATAAAATTAAACTATTATTTAATAAAAACTATGAAATATGTATGTCCACTAACGATAGTGGAAGTAGTCTGTGATGGTAATAGTTGGTGTTTGTGTTTAATAATGGTGATGATGATACTTGTAATGAGGAATGTGATTGGTGTTGTAGTGATTAGTGCGAAGATGATTGTAATGGTGAGGTTGGTTGATGTCCATAGTTGACGGTGTTGCTGGTTTCATAATTGAAGAATGCTTTGTGCATGGTTAATAATATTATTGGTGATAATTGACAGTAATACTATTGATGGTAGTAGTTTATAGCGACAGTGATAATAGCAAATAGAAGTGATAGCAATGACCGATACTAATGGTGGTTAGTCATGGTTAGAAACTTCCTTGTTCACCAAACAAATTAACCTTCTCTTTGTTTGGTGGTTATATTAAAATTTTTCTTTCTAAGTTGCATTTAATTAAAGATCACATGATGTAGATTATTTTTCCAGCTCATTTCACCACTTTACCTATATTAAAAAAATGATGAAAAAAAAAAAAGCGAAAAACTTTTTTAACATAAAGATTTTATGAAATCTCATCTAACTTACACCTTCCTCCCCCACCCCCATATCCTCCCTCCTTCCTTACATGGTGGGGTGGCTAACACTACACTACACTACACTATTCCCACGTGCTTTCTCCTCTCCACTTATAAAATACAATCCTTCCCCCCTTCGAACAACCGAAAAAAGAACAATCCATTTCTCTTCCAATTTATTCAAGCGGATCCGACCCCATTCACCCCTCACATGGCCGTAGTTCGTGATCGCCGACACCTTAATCTCCGTCTTCCCTTACCGGAACCCTCTGAACGACGTCCTCGTTTTCCCTTACCTCTCCCTCCTTCTTCCGTATCCACCGTCAACTCTACCGCCAACACCACCACCACTACTACTACTACCACCACCGCTTCTACTACTACTATCTCCATATCGGAACTTGAAAAGCTTAAGGTTCTCGGTCATGGAAACGGTGGAACTGTGTATGAAGTCCGTCACAAGCGGACCTCCGTGATCTACGCTCTTAAAGTTGTTCACGGTGATAGTGACCCAGAGATTCGTCGTCAGATCCTCCGGGAAATCTCAATCCTTCGTCGGACGGATTCTCCTTACGTTATCAAGTGTCACGGAGTTATTGATATGACGGGAGGGGATATCGGTATTCTCATGGAGTATATGAACGCCGGTACATTAGAAAATCTTCTTAAATCACAATCAACTTTCTCCGAACTCTGTTTAGCGAAAATCGCTAAGCAAGTGCTCGGTGGATTAGACTATTTGCATAGTCACAAAATCATTCACAGAGATCTGAAACCTTCGAACCTTTTGGTGAATCGTGAGATGGAAGTGAAAATCGCTGATTTCGGAGTGAGCAAAATCATGGGAAGGACTCTGGATCCTTGCAATTCATACGTCGGGACTTGTGCATATATGAGCCCAGAAAGGTTTGATCCAGATACTTATGGAGGTAACTACAACGGTTACGCAGCTGATATTTGGAGCTTAGGTCTCACTTTAATGGAACTGTACATGGGCCACTTTCCGTTCTTACCGCCGGGACAGCGACCGGATTGGGCTACACTTATGTGCGCGATATGCTTCGGTGAACCACCAAGTTTGCCGGAAAATACGTCGGAAAAATTCAATGATTTCATGAAGTGTTGCTTACAGAAAGAGTCCAGTAAGAGATGGAGCGCTCATCAACTTTTGCAACATCCCTTTATACAGAGTATCGATTTGAAATCCACCTAAAAAGGGAAAAAGCAAGCTAAAAACTGGGAAATGGAATCCGAGTTGTTGTAAATAGAACGGGATTCTTTTTTTTTTCTTTTCTTTTTTTGGGTTCACTTTTTTGTATATTCTTCCACTCTGAATCTGAGATCAAAATCAGAATAATTCTCTGTACTGGAAAAAATGCTCCATTTCCACAGCTAAAATCATCTGTGGAATTTTGGGACCTTATGAAATCAAATTTTCTCCAGTAACTTCAACGAATCTGGCAAACTTTTCTTTCCTAATTCAAATTCAATCATAATCATACTTAATTTCATTGTTCAAAGTAATTTGTCCCTTAATATCGTACTATACAAAATTAATGTCATCATTATCTCATTGCACTGCTTTGGAATTATGGGATAAGATAAAGTTTGAGATTATTTTTATTTTTTAATTGAAAACATAAATTAATTTCAAAATTATAATCTCGAAATAAATTTGTTGTTAAATTAGGGAAGATGACCCATCGCCTATCAGGCTTGTGAATCATAATAATCTAACATGATGCACTGTGCAAATAGCTGAAAAGACAAGAAACCTTTACTTGGATTTGTTAATAAGGATTTAGCTTGATTTTTTATTCCATTAAAAATAAGCAGCTACAACACATATTGTATTATATATTTTTTTTATAATAAACTATAATATGAATGATGATCCAAGTGTGCGTTTGGAGAGGCTTGTCTTTATTAAGTTGTCACGCTCGACTCTTTTTTAAATTTTTTATTGTATATAGTGCTACTAGAACTAGAATATAAAATTGATTACGTATTTACAGCTTTAATTTAATCATTTCTTAGATGAAAAATAAAGTTTACTCCATCTTGAGCGGTAATAGTGCATTTTATATCAATGTTTAGTAAATTACTACGCAAAACATCTAGTGATTTCAATCCTTAATACTTAACAATTAATTAGAAAACAAATTAATTTCATAGTTTCTATAATATAAAAATGTGGTTATGCTCACTAGAAGATTGGTTGTCACAAGTTTGATAGTAATATTTGGAGAAGACAGTTGAAAGCTCGTGATATATAAAAAAACATTGTGAATATATATTCAAAATTTATATTAGGTCTATTACCTATATCTATATGTTATGTCTTACGAAGATATGTTCTCTGATCGTAAATGATGTTGTGATGCATTTTTGAAACGTATATCTTATATGTTGTCTCTTATGATTTTTTTTTCTCTAATTAGTGTTGGGGTTTATTTGCCCTGATTTCTTACCATAAATAGGTTTTCCTTTTAGGATTTTTAAAAAATATTTTGACTATTCCTTTTCTTATAGGAAATGTTTTAAGACTCTATAAATATAGACTTGTTCCTTTTAACTTAATCAACATTCACAATATAAGCTTAAGGGCTTTGAAAGTTTTGGTTAGGTGGAGAATTTGTGGGTCACAAGCTTGATACGTTATCACTTGTGTGAATCTCCCATAAATGGCGGAGCCACATGAAGTTGAGGGGTGTCGACCGACACCCCTTCGTCGGAAAATTACATTGTGTAGCTAGACTAAAAATATTTTTTTATGTATATATATTACATATTGACACTCCTTGACTTTTACGCGATTTTACTTCTTTATATTTTGACATCCATTTGTCAAAGTTCTGGCTCCGCCATTGTCTCCCATGTATTCCGAGTGAATTGGTTGAGGTTATTTCTCTCTATATTTTGTACCCTCATGTTTATATAGTGGATTGCTCATCTCCTTTGTGGACGTAGGTCGATTGATCGAACCACGTTAAATCTTTGTGTCTTTGTATATTTCTCATTTGTCTTTTTACTTGTGGTCTTTAGAGGTTTGCTTTGCTAGCTTCCACATTACACCTAATTATTTTCGGTCATAACAAGATCGTAAATGATGTTGTGATGCATTTTTGAAACGTATATCTTATATGTTGTGTCTTATGATTTTTTTCTCAAATTAATTATATCGTAAATGATATTGTGACTAGGGGTGTTCACGGGTCGGTTTGGATCGGTTATTGGTCAAAACCAAAACCAAACCAACTTAATTGGTTTTAAAATTATCAAAACCAAACCAACCAAATATAATATACATTTATCGGTTTGGTGGTTATTGGTTTTGGTTTGGTTATTCGGTTATTAATCATACACAAAAATAAAATATACAATTCATTCAAAATGTGAAAAAAGTGATAACAATCCATTCAAAACGAAAAATAGTTAGAATGACTTAAATTACTGAACTTTCGATCAGTAAATTTACTATTAATAAAACTTTAAAATTCACTATATTGGCCTAGAAGGAAGAGACAATAACATTTTCAGTTTCATAAAGAATTGTCATAGACACTCATATACATGAAATCAATAAGATAAATGTTTTCATCTTGGGCATTTTTGCTTTCAATAATTAAATTATAAAGAAATTTTAATGAAAATATATGTAAGATCTTTAAAGTTGTTTATAAAAATAATATATTTAAGTATGTATATTAATAAAATATATGTATATAATTCATCGGTTTGGTTCGGTTATTTCTTCGGTTTTTTTCGAATAAAACCATAACCAAACCAAATACTATCGATTTTCAAAAATCTAAAACCAAACCAAACCCAAATAAAAACGATTTTATTTTATCGATTTGGATCAGTTTTTATCCAAATCGTGAACACCCCTAATTGTGACAATACATTTTTTGAAACGTTTGATTTAAAAGATTTTCATATTAATTTCCACAAAAGCTATAGCAAAGAACTCGTCCCTTAATATAAATGAATCGACACTTTTTTGCGGTATGTCCGTGCCTCATTAATTAATCAATTTAAATCTTTTATCGATATCAACAATTATCAGTTAATTAAATTTTGCTTTGGTAAACAATATTATCTGTAATGTTTTCCTCTATCCCCTTTATTAAGACCAAACAAAATTAATTTTAAACTAATACACTATATATTTCTTTTCGGTACATCATTATTATCCAATAAAGTAGTGAGGTAGATTCCCGATTCCTTCCAAATGTATACGTTAACCTTTTATTTGGCCGTCGAAAAAATACAAAAAATGTGACAGTGACATATGGCCTATTAGGGCCAGTTTTAAAACATTTTTTCCCACTTGCATAGTTGCATTTGTAATGATAATTACTATGACATGAGGACAAGTGGTCATGTTCTTGACGGCTTCCTACTTATAAATCTATCTAAAATTTTAAAAAAAATATATTTCGATATCTTTTTTATAAATTTATACTTATATTAAGAAGCTCTATATCGATAGAAGATAGGAAATTAGTCTTCCTATGTGGACTTAAACAAACTTCTTTTTGTGAGCTAAATTTTGAAATTAAGTTAGCTCATGTGACATATCTTTAGATGGTATCAAAAAAATATAAAATTGTCCACACATTAAATGCTAAGCACTACTGAATTATGATTTCATATCACATATTCAAACAACCTTAAAAATCAACCAAACTTCACCAGATTGCTTTTAATAATCGAAGTCTTCATAACTATTCAAAAAAATTCAATTGATTATTTCTGAAACGTCAATGGGTTAGTATAACTTGGACTTAAGAGTGAGTCTACTTCCCTTATGTGCGGCAATATCAAACTACTCATAATTCACATGTAAAACAGACTAATTCTTGAAAAGATTTTCTTTGTATAAATATTACAGAGATTAAATATTACTACATAAGAATTAAGATATATAAGAGAGGAATTCTCTTAGAGAAGAATTTCTATATAATATATACAGACATGGAGTTTGAAAAGTATCACATGATAATTGATTTAAAATTCTAAATGCAAAAGTGTAGCTTTGAAAATACTGAATATTCAATTGAAGGATTTGCCCTCGTGATTGAATTACTGTAACCAACATTCATGCATATTGCATTGTAACAAATTTTGAAACAACAAGAAGGTTTAGAAAGTACAAAAATTTATACTCTTTTTATTCATTTTATATGATATAGTTTGATTTGACATAAGTTTAAAAAATAAATAAAGATTTTTAAAATTTATGGTCTAAAATGAGCGATAAATATTTTTGTGGCTATGAATCATTTCATTAAGGATAAAATAATTTTTTTAAAGTCAAATTGTTATTAAATATAAAAAAGTGTTTTAGAACCGACTAAAAAGGAAAATTAGTGATATAAACTTTTAAAGTGTAACTAAATAATTTTTGAAAATTCCATTAGCTATAGAGTAGGAAATAATAGTAAATAGGACGACAAATATTTGATTCGAAAGGAGTATATAATAGATTCCAAATAGTGTAAAAAAGATAACGTATATAGCTAAAATGCGATGAAAATAAAATCGAAAAAACGAGAGCTTTCGAGAGAGCTTCATTGAGACGTGGACAATGAAGATGGAAAATTGGGTCAGCTAAAATGGTTAGATATGCGTCTTATTCACCATCAGGTTTTTACTGATCGATGCATGAACATAACACACAGACGGAGCTAGGTAGGGGTAAGGAGATTTGATAAATCGACTTCGAAATATTAATTATATTATTTATATATAATTAAAATTATTTTTATGTGTATATAATAGATATATTGAACTCTTTTTAACTTTTTCATTTGTTTACTAATTTTCATATATTAAACCTTTTAGTGAAAAATCATAACTCTACCACTAAAAAAACATATCTCCCCTTAAGACTTAATCATATATGTCCATTTCATTGTCATTCATTTAACTCCCAAAACCTCATATTATTAAATTAGTATACAAAAGCCAAACAGAAATTCATATTTACCAAAAATAATAAGGGATTTCCAAGAAACGACGATGTTTGTGAATTTTTGACAAGGAAGAAGAAAAGTAGATTATGTTGATAGACAGAATCTATTACTAAGATGGGTACGTTTTGGATGTATCCTTTCAACTTGCCTATTTTCAATTACCAGCACCAACTATGATCTATACTTGGTTTATTATATTATAACATCACTTTTTGAGGTGTTTTAGGGATTTGGGTTGAAGTTGCATATATAATGATGCTAACAAAAGTAGCACACAGCTCTGTTTCAACTTGTTTATCCTATTTTTAATTTATTTTATCTATATAAAAAAGAATGTCCATTTACTTTTTTGATGATTCTTTAATTCCAGCTATTCACATGACATGTTTAAAATCACAAAATTTGCATAACCTTAATTTAAGACCACAAAATTTAAAAATTTATTCTCCTAAGCTCCATATCAAG